TCCTCTCAGATTGTCGTTCGAAAGGGAGAGCTTCTGGAGTTTCGACAGCGACACAAATTTGGAAGAGATGCGATCGTGGAGACGATTGGAGTCAACACGGAGAAATTTCTAGAAATTCCACCTCCTCTAGTGGATAAATAATTAAATCTATAGATACCACACGCGCTTTGCAATTGAGAAGAAAAGTCTTTAGGACCTCGCCCTTGCGATCCTCGGGCCACCAGGTTCATAATTAGATCTAACATTTTTTAAATGTTCATATGTTGGGATGCATACATAGGAGTTACGAAGAAAATAAAGGTACTTAAATATGACACCTAAAACGATAGAATAACCATTTCTAGGAACCACAGAAGATGCTCCCACGAAGGCCTATACAAGGTTCCTTGTGGGCATTAATGGTCCTCATGCTCATATTCGAAAGCTCTAATCGCCCTTATAAATGGAGTTCGGAGAGCTCCACTCAGGATTTCCTTGAACCTATATTTCCTTAATGAATTTAAATTACGAGGGCATCCATGTCCTCAGCTGCGGTGCTTCGGTTGATGTAGGTTTGACCTAGTCTTTCACGTACCCGTCACCTTTTCGTAATGATATCTCCACTCACCAACGTGGGATTTCGGCGAAAAAAAATGCAGTGTAAGCGTTCATCAATTGATTGGAATATTGTCAGTTGTTTCAGCTGTGGTTTAGTATCTAGCATTTGGTCTGGCCCCCGTACCCAGCAGTATGCTATCTGCCGCTGCGCGTGCCCCGCCGTCTGCTCCGATGGTGTCCTGTCACCTTCCGCATGTAGCTCGCCACCCGCGTTGACAGCGCTGTCAGCCCGAACGCCCCCGATGTCAGGAAGCCCAAGCCCGACCACCAGCACGGCCGGCACAAGCACGGGGCTGAAGATGGCGAACAGAACCTAATTGATGGTGCTGAATCTTATGTGGATGTCCAAAAAAGGACGTTGACCAATTAAAGCATACATTACACTGACAAATATAAAGGACGAAGAAATTCAACAATACTGACCCCAGAAAACATATTGAGAGCTGGAAAATTTCATGAAATCCGAAACAATTCAGTATGCAATCAGGACCGGAGTAGGTGAAGCGTCTGAGGTCCATTGGTATTGGTAAGACCGTGAAGAATCTGAGGTTGGTCTTGCTTGATGTTAGGGCTCCGAGAGCCATAAATTAGGACGCGCTCTGCAAGCTCTCAGAAAGGACTAGTGCGCCATTTGATCGTGCGGTGGAGACCAAGGGCGCGTTTGGCAAGTTGCCAAATGGTAACTATTTCTGTTCTTTTGTTTCTAGAATCAGTTTTGGAACAGAAATCCGTTTGGAAATTTTTTTGTTCCCAGGCACAAATTTGCAAAAATTTGTTCCCAGAATCAGTTTTGGAACAAAATCAAGAAGCAAAAAAAAGTAGCTTCTTGATTCTGGGAACAAGAATCAGAAATGGAAAAGAAATTTCTTCTTCTTCTTCTTCTTCTTGGTTTTCTTCTTTCTCCTTGGTTTCTTCTTCTTCTTCATTCTTGGCCTGCCGCCGGTGATCGACCACAGGCCAGGGCCGGCGAGGGCAGTTGTCGCCCAGGCCGCGAGCCGCCCTCGCCCAGGCCGTGAGGGTCCAGCCCTCACTGTCGTCGGCGAGGGTGGGCGGTGGCCCTTCCTTGTGGCCGGCGAGGGCTGCGACGCCCTCGCCGGCCCTAGCCAGTGGCCGGTCACCGGCGCCGGCGATTGGCCCTGGCCAAAGAAGGGGAAGGGGAAGAAAAAAAAAGAAAAAAAAATAAAAAAATTCAAAATATTATTAATAAAAAGAAATTTTGGGCAGTTACCAAACGCATTTCTATTCTTTTTCTATTCCAAGAATATAAATTTTGGGGCAGTTACCAAGTGTCTTCAATTCAAATGCTTAGAAATTGTTCCCAGGCACGGAATAAAAAATAATCATTTCTAAGTAGAATCAGCTTCCGGCAATAGAATGGTTGCCAAACGCACCCCAAGAGACCAGGGACGCTTCCAGTTCTGTCGTTTGCGGGAAGGAGGAATCACTTAGAAACACTCAGGTTAATGAGTCATGAGTGCACTTAAAAAGTTTCCTTTATTTTGCGAAAAATAAACAATTTAAAAAATAATTATTTCAAGTGATTATTTTTTGGAAAATAATTTTCAAATCATTCACTGCAAAACAAACGGAGCCAATATATGAATTCGTCCGCATCACATCAATTATCTGTACAATGGGACTTTTCTGGCTATCATTTCGCACAGATGCACCTCAATACTTGTCCATTCCTGACCGCAACTTAATTTTCTAATCTAGAGTTTACTGGGCCTAGTGAGCATGCATTGCAACTTCGTTTGTCATGAAACCATGTTTCTAAACTAACCGTACGCATTACTACAACGTTGTTAACCCAATTATGCGATTGGAACGAAATCTCCACTTGGTGCTTTTGGAAGTAAAGAGGACACTTGCCTGCCCTGGAGGCAAGAGAGGAGGGACTCGTCCAAGGAATTGGAGATAGATTCCAGTTTTCTGAAGGAGTTGGAAGCAATTGTTACTCATTGCGAAAGAAATTAACATGGTACCTGAGGATCAGAGGTCAATGGTCATGCTAATATGCTATCATGGCCATGGCATTTACTTACTGTAACTTTCTCAAATCTAAGCTTTAGTTTGAGGCAACCAAACACTCCCTTGGATGAACGAACCCACCGGGAACTTTTCTGCCTCAGTCGCCGGGAGAGCCCAGGCTTATACCCGGCCCACATGACCCATTGGGCCGTGCCCTACCCCGGCCCACTGTTTTATCCCGTAATGTTTTGAGTGGAAATGTCAAATTCTTATAATGATTATAAAAGTTGGACGATTTCTTCCTTGTGACATTGGCTAAGTGATTATGGTGTTTTTTCCGGGTGTTGATATGTCGAAGAGAATTCTTTCTTTAAAAGTGGGGTCAAAACCGCTTCAATTTAGGACCAGTTAGAACCGGCGGTTCAGGCATTGAAACCAGGAACCGAACCGGTTGTAAGCTGGTTCTTAGCTTGCCGGACTAGAAACCGAAACAATTCTCCCTAAAACCGGCCTTCAATTGGTCGGTCCAATCCAGTTCTCAGATTAAATTGTTAGCTCATGTGCTTTCTAGTTGTGACTGTTCATAATTGCTTTGACGATTTAAGATTTGATGTTATTTATTATAGGTTGATGTGACTCTTGACGATGGGACCTTTGCTAGAGCTGCTGTTCCTAGCTCTGCATCCACTGGTAAGATTTATGCTTCGAAAATCCTCATTTCAAAACATTTCTGGACATTTCATGTGCGGTTCCACGTATCTGCTATCATCTTGGTAGTTTATATAGTTTTGCTAGTGTAAATGATGTTGAGAAAATATGGAAATACTGTCTCAGAAATCGCATAGTTGTTTATGCCAAGTTACCTCTTGATTTCAGGGATCTATGAGGCACTCGAACTGAGAGATGGTGGGTCTGACAATCTTGGAAAGGGTGTTTCCAAGGTTGTACACCCCTTCATTTCTTCTTGTTGTCTTCTACTGTGTCAATTGCTATGTCTTTACCTACTGTTCTTACGAGCATCATTGTACTCCTGTGTATTTAGGCTGTTGAGAATATCAACTCGATCATTGGCCCTGCCCTAGTTGGAAAGGTTGGTTTAACATATGTGATCTTCTTATTATGTCTTGCCATTTCTTAACAGCTGTCCTTCGGCGGTCTTATTCTTTAAGATTCAGTTGTTAACTTGTTGTCCAGCTGCAAGATGATTGAGATGATTATTTTAAGCAATTAAAGGCTGTAAGCTAGCCTTTAATTTCTCACCCAAGGTGACTACTTTATTGTATTTGTAATTTCCTTTGCTTTTGCCTTTTTTAGGATCCAACAGAGCAGACAGATATTGACAATTTCATGGTTCAACAACTTGATGGTACTGTAAACGAGTGGGGTTGGTGTAAGCAAAAGGTACTTGTTTTAATTGTTTTGTTTAACATCCATGTTGTGGTGATGGATATTAACAAATGTACATTTTTTTCGTGAAGCTTGGAGCAAATGCTATACTTGCCGTGTCCCTTGCGGTCTGCAAGGCTGGGGCTGCTGTTCACAATATTCCCCTGTATAAGGTGCTTTCAGCATTGCCATTTTTACTATGTTTGCTTTTGTCTGCATCTTTTCCATGCACTTATTTTTATTTTTTATTTTTTTGACTTACTATACTTGCCTGAATATTGGTCATTGTAATTGACACTATTAAAATTCTGGATCGTGTTTCTTCATATTGTTGACATGCAACATGTATACTGCAATATTGAATTTTACGATAGACAATATGAAACTTATTACTGACTATAAATCAATTGATAAGGCAATGACATAGTCTTAGTAGTAGGACTATCGTTGACTTGATCATTTCCACGATAATTCCACTGTCCATTTAAATCAAAATATGGTAACTCGGTTTCCCTCTCTTCATGGTTGCAGCACATTGCTAACCTTGCCGGTAACAGCAAATTGGTATTGCCTGTTCCTGCTTTTACTGTTATTAATGGAGGCTCACATGCTGGAAACAAACTTGCAATGCAGGTCTGCAGTCTGCTTCTTGACTACATTTTGCTAATATATCTTTGCTAGGATTTCTCAATCGTATGCACCTATGCTGCAGAAGTTCATGATCCTTCCAGTTGGAGCTTCATCATTTAAGGAGGCCATGAAGATGGGCACGGAAGTAACTGACCATTTGAAGGTGTTAAAACCTATTTTTTTCAAATTGTCTCGAAAATCATCCTTCTCAAACTGTCAAACTGTTAGAAGACCCGAAATTCAAGACTTGCCTGTTATTGTGCATTAGTTTACGTTGTCTTTCGATATAGCATGAACAAAAAGGAGGATCAAACATTTAAGGTGAAAGTTGGTTAATGTGATTTTTTCACATTTTTAGCTATTTTTAATGACGAGTCTTTGTTTGATTGACTATTTTTGTACTTTGCTTTAGACTGTAATCGAGATGAAATACGGTCAGGCTGCAACTAATGTCCATGACGCAGGTGGATTTATTAAGGTGAAAGTACTGGTTTACAAAGAGCAATGAAATCGGAGCAACTTTTCTTCTCACAGAATGTTGTTATTAGTCTTTTCACCTTTGTTGTTTTCCGCTAATTCAGGAGAACGAAGAGGGTCTAGAGTTGCTCAAAGAAGCCATTGAAAATACAGATTATAATGACAAAGTGAGTTCTTGGACCAACCATCTGATACTGTTGGACGCATTTCCATTGTTCTTTTTCGCTGGGGGGTGGTGGTTATTTGACTTTATTACCTTTTTCATCTATGGAGAGGGGGACTTACAGAGAGTTTCTTATAATGTCCCTTTTCTATTTCAGGTTTTTATTGGAATGGAGGTTGCTGCATCTGAGTTCCATGGACCAGATAGAACCTATGATATGAACTTCAAGGAAGAGGCTAGTTTCTTTCATTGTTTATTCAATCAAATGCATTTTCTGAAGAGTTAATAAGTGATAATGCTCCCTCAAGAAATCAATTTCCATGAACGTTAATAGCTTGAATATGTGGTTCTTGTAGTCGTCCAGGAACAGGATTTAAAGTGCTCATCCTCTTCTATTGGCTTATGCAGAACAATGATGGATCTCAGAAGATCCCTGGAGATGCTCTCGGTAATGTGTACAAGTCATTCGCAGGTGACTATGCTATCGTGTCAATTGAGGGTCCCTTTTACCAGGATGACTTGGAGCACTACGCAAGGATGACCCATGAAATTGGGGAACACGTCCAACTTGTGGGAGGTGATCTGTTGGGCACCAACCTTGTGGTGAGCTTGTGAACTTCATCTATGCAACTCTCTCTCTCTCTCTCTCTCTCTCTCTCTCATAATCATATCGTACTCTGCAGAGGCTTGAGAAGGCGATTAATGAGAAAATTTGCAATGCTCTCCTTCTCAAGGTACATCCCAGATCATCACTTTTGAAAATGCAACCCATAGCTGACTATATCTACATTCAACTAATTGGAATGATCGTACAACAGGTTGATCAAATCGGATCTGTTACTGAGAGCATTGAAGCTGTGAAGATGTCAAAGATAGCTGGGTGGGGAGTGATGGCTAGCTGCAGCAGTCTCGGACAGCGACAAAGCATAGCTGATACATTCTTATCTAAAATGTTTTGCTTTGGCGAATGTACCAAACTTCGCAGTGGAGGAACAGAAGATGCTTTCATTGCCGACCTTTCTGTGGGTTTGGCCACGGTAAATACACAGCATCATTTTGACCTTATACCGCCTTTACTTAACCTTAAATCACCCAGTTCTTTTGACATTATTCTTGGGATCAGGGTCAAATTAAGACTGGAGCTCCACGCAGGTCTGAGCGGCAGGCTAAATATAACCGGGTTTGTATAGTTCCTATTTTTTTACCTGGTTACATTAAGTAGCTCTTCCTGTACTTAGATCATTTCTTGTCATTAGATTAGTCATGAATCGTGTCTGTATATGCACAGCTCTTGCAAATTGAAAAGGAGCTCGGTGCAGAAGCTGTTTATGCTGGAGCAGACTTCCGCAAGCCCGTTGAACCCTACTAGAGTACAATGGACATCCTTGTTTGTACATATCCAAGTGTTTGGCTTGCTTTTTCTGTTTTTCAAGGCGTATGTACAGAGCAAGGCCTGAACTTTCGTTGCCTTCAATAACTGCAGTTTGGATCTTTGTTGAGCTCGAGCGATGTAATTGATCAGGAACCATCTTTATGGAGGAATTAAAATTACCGTCGGCTTTGTGATCAATTTTTTTCTCTTCTTTCCCTCTCTTACGATGTTAAACCGCAGCTGTTGGTCTTTTATTTTTGTTCATTTTCTCTGTTTTTCTACTTTGAACTCGTGTGTCTACTAAATCTAAGGATCCTTGTCCGCGGTCACTGAGATCAGATGGACCGTTCATTTTTTTGCGCTTGGAACTCCGTCTTGCAATCCAGGATGTCGCCCTCATTTTCTCTTTGAAACCGAGTTAAAAGGGGTGTTCCAGTTGACGGATCTTCTTTGGGGCCCTTGACATCCCTCTAGAAACATCTGTGTGTAGCAAATTTCTACATGGTCTAAATCTGTCCGAAGGTATCATATCATATCCATTTTTATCTCTGTTTCTGTCTATATCTTTAGCCTCAAATTTCCCCCCAATTTTTTGTCATTTTCCAAGTCCATCCCTAATCCGTTACGGACATTAGCATAAAATCGTCAATTCAACTCACTAAAATAATTGGGTAGCCGCAACTGCCCATAGTACTTTTTTAGTAAATGTAAACATCTCTCCCTAAATACATAATAAATTGGTCCTAAGCATGACCTTAAAAGGCTAAAGGAGAAAATATGGAGAAGGGACTCCCCGGTATGGTAGAGGCTCGTCCCTAAGTTTCTCTCCGTATTCCCTCTTTCCAGGGAAGAAAAAGATATGGAAGGGAACTTGGAGCCTCTTGGGTGATAAAGGTAGACACCACGTCAATAAAAGTTGGCTATCTCCGGGTAAGCAGGTATAGTAGCCTCCCGCACCTGAGATGACAAGAGGTGAAATCTCGGCTTTCTGCAGGTCTGGTTGTGCTTTGCACAAGTCTGTCAACTGACTGGCAGACTTGTACCCCGGTTGACAGATTCGACTCACTAAAGTAATTGGGTAGCCGCAACTCCCCATAGTACTTTTTTAGTAAATGAAAACATCTCTCACTAAATACATAATAAATCATATTGAATTACAAACAAGATTACTTACTCAAAACTCATGCATTATAAATATTCAGTTAGGAATTCTATAGAACCGGCTCATATAAGGTTGACAATATTTAAGATAAATATTCATATAAATAAATAATATCCTATTCCTATGAGCAGTTAGGCATGAAGGGGTGGCTGTAACTAAAACATAGTAATTGATTTTATTATGGAATTGACGATGATTATGTAAAGGTACGGAATAACCCATGGATCATGGAGGAAACAATGGCGTTCCAGTAATTGACAGGAATTGGGTTCGGTATCGGGTTTCTACACTATAAAATCCCAACCCTGCGCTATAATTTTTCTCAATTGATCACAAACTCGTCCCACTACCCAGACCTAATTCATGGTTCAATGGGGTTTGGGCGTATTGGCTACCCAATTGTACCCGTCCCACCATCACCCCTATACGGTCAGCTGATTATATCCAATTACTTTAGTGAGATGAGTTTCGGATTTCATGTCAAAATCCTTAACGGGTCTAGAATGAATTTGGAAAACAACATAAACTTAAAAGGACGGGATTGCTCCCTCCAAAATCCTAGTCGCTTGCTCCCTTACCCACTCTCTCTCGTTCCTTTTTTTCTCTTCCACTCCAAACTTCCTCAACAAAGAAATAACTCTCAATCGAGAGAGGCTCCATCTTCTCAATTAGAATTGAGATTTTTTCTCTCGATCTGATTTGGTTTATTTTATTGTTTTTATCTAGTTTTTTTCTTTGCTCACTGCTGATACTCTTCTCTACTCTTTACCATATCTTCTGGTTCCATCATTAGGAATCAACCCACTACTTTCGAACCTCCAAACCAAGAAGCCCGACAGGATCTCGGAGGAATATGGTGAGTTCATACCGCACGGGAAGCACTTAAACAACTTCTTCGAATTTTGGAAGTTCATCTCCCGACCTTAGATATTGCTATGGGAACTCTTCGCTTCGGATTTAGATTTAGAACTATAAGTTCCTCATAGGCATTTTTGTGCTTGTTCAATCTCTCTCGATTTAAATCTAGATTTAGGAGCTTATTCAACCTATTTTTGGTGTATCTGTAGGGTGATTGTGTTGAGTATGCTAAACCTAAGCATGCACCGCCTACTGGCAAGTCGTAACTATTGGAGAAGGAGATTCAGGTGCGTGTGTCGCGACCTACCTCTTGAGGACCGAACTCGATGAAGCGGGTTTAGAGGTAAGTGTTGATGAAACGGTACATATGGCACATCATAAAAGACGGCTTACCGAAGCGTTAATCTTTTAGTCATCCATACGGTCTATTGATCGTGAACATGGTACCTCACGTGACAGTGGATTGATTTTATCTTTTTAGGAGTCGCCACTAGCCTAGGTCAAGGATCGGCTAGAATACCCAATCAAAATGCGGGAGTTTCGTTTCGGTTTCTATGAAAACCAGAAATCATGGGTTCGGGGACTTGCTTACGTTAATGTTTCCACTAACGCATTTTCGGTACTGCTAAACTTAACATGGTTGTTATCTAAGTTGTCATGCATTTGTTTTTTTACCATTTTCATGCCAAAGTCTTAGTCCATTAGGTGATCATGCAACTTATTTTTGTGTTTTCCATTTAGGTTCTAAACTAGCCCTATCCTAGTCTAGAAAAGGAAACGAATCAATCAATTTGTATTGAAAAGACGATGCGTAAAGTAAACACACACAGTATTGAAAAGCGAGCTATTCTAAGTGCGAAAAAAGGAAAACCCGAAACTCATTGGGTGTTTAATACAATACGAATGGAAAGACCTGAGACATGATCGGGGTAACATGAATTGTGTACAAATTGAGACTGGATTGGACATCGGTCTTAAGCCACCATCTTCGAAGTTGTTTGGCCATCTTCTTCATGGACCGCCTCACGGGTGTCGGTTTTACATTCTTTTTTTTTTTTATTCGGAGTGTCGGTTTTGTTGAGGAAAACTCCTATTAATTTTGAAGTTGACAAAACCTTCCACATAATTATAAGTCTGATACTTATTCTGAACTAATTTATTCCAGGTATTTATGTTCTGGAAACTCAGAAGGAAATTATTCGAGACTTTACAAACTGTCAAGTATGTTTTTGAAGACCCACATAATCTAGGTTACGAGATTCGGACGCAGAGTTATTCGAGATGCGGATGCGAAGCGAAGTTATTCGAGATGCGAATGCGAAGCGAAGTTATTCGGATGCGACGCGAGAATTTCTTCGACGTTGAATCGAAACGAAACACAACGGCTAGTGATCCGGCATGGATTTCGAGAGAAGGAATGTTCTGATTGTCTCAATCTCAATCAAATTGATTGACAATCAAACACCTCGACAAGAATGCATTACAACGGACAAAGCTCTACTTATGGAAACCAAGATTCTGATTGTATGGGCGACCAGAATCAGCGGGATTCAGAATCTGTCATCTAACGGCTACTCAATCCTTATTATACAAATCTGTCTAAGGTGAAGATTGGAAGATGATCCTCTGAAAGCTGTCCAATGGCTAGTAGAGGAGTATTTAAGGAGATCAACGAGCAGCAGAAGGAACACAGAATCAAGAATCAACAAGTCCAAAGTTTGAGCATACTCCAATCATTTCTCTTGTCGTTCTGAGCAAAACATTAAGATCTTAAGGGACACTTTGTAAGAGTGATTGTGTGAGATAGAGAGTCCTATCATACACAAGAGTGTTAACACTCAGAAGTTGTAATTCCTCTTGATTTCATAGTGAAATCTAGCCGGTAGGCTGTAAGCGTGGGAGAGTGGAGGTTTCAGACTCAGAATCCGACCATCATGAAGACCGTTCTGAAGCAACACCTCCTCAGCAATCGTCGCCACCAAAATCATCCGGTAAAACAAATTTTCGTTTTCGAAGTATCAAGCTTGTATGGAATGCTTATCAGCGGTTAAAGAGAAGCAATGCCTCTGAATCGGTTCTGCGTGACTGTCTTAAAGACAATAATTTACTCTCTGAAGAACATCTCGCTGAAACCTACTCTGAGTTTTGTTGTAAAACTGACAAAGTTCCAGCCAGCTCTATCCCAACAGAACCATCTTCCAAAAAGGGCAAAGAAAAGGTTGGAGAAACTTCCACTCCTTCTGAAAAGAAATCTGTTCATATAAGCCCTAAGTCCACAAGTGCCTCGAAATTTGTTGTTCCTGATGATGATGCACGATTTTTTGAGACTTTTGAGATAAAGGTGGGAATAGCATCTGGTTTGCCTGGAACAGGAGGTTTGTTCAGAAGCACTGCGCATCACATGTGCTACAAGTTGTTACTTGCTAGAGGGGTAATGAACAATAGGACTGTGGATTTCGAATACCTGGAGAAGGCTGGCATTTCTGTACAGCACCTGTTTGAGAAGTTAGGGATTTATGAATTTTGCCTTCAATCTGCCAATACTTATGCTGAATTAACTGCCTACTTCTATTCCAATCTTTCAATTCTGTCACCAAATTGGATTCAGTTTACTGTTGGTGACAAGAAGGTTGATTTAAAAGCGCATGAGTTGGCAAGGATAATTGGAGCCACACATTCCAATTTTACTCCGTTGGCAGTGAATCTTGAAGAAGCTTCACAGGTGGCTTCTGAAAATCCAAACTTTGCTCAAGGATCCAAGCGCCATCTCTCCTATTCTGACTTATCCAAACGATCTGTGATCTTGCATAAGATCATAATCAACTGTTTGAAGCCCAAATATGCCTCAAAAACTGACCTTTCAAAATCAGAAGTCAAGCTCATTTGGGCTATCTTAAAAGGTCAATCCTTCTCTCTCCCTCACCTCATCATATTCCATATGTACAGGACATTACAGAAGGATAAGGGTCATCTTCCATATGGTG